AATCATTAGCTAGAATGCTTAAGACCAGATTTACCTGAGGAATAAATTCACTAAAGACAGTGGAACTAACCTGGGCACAAAATGCCTTGAACTTCCTTCTGTGTTTCCTTTCACAACTGCTAATTGCAGAAATTGATTGGTTTGAGGTCCTTATGTTACATGCTTTAACAAAATGTGAGGTAAGCTATACAGACTTGGGCAATAAACCCATCATTAACAGAAGTCCAGTGGGTACTTTAGCTCCCAGTCTTCTGCCATATCTGTATTTCCTTCCAAAGACATAAAAATGGGAAAAATATTTGCTACTTTCCTTATCCATTAGGAATATTAGTTAAAGCTCAGAATTTGAGATATCCCAGATATGGCATTGCATACCTCAATACTTAAGGATCCATCTTTTGAGTAGCTATTAATCTTTTATATTAATATTACTACTGCATAGATTTCTGAATAATCAAATTTGAATCAAAGCAGAGGGCTGGAAATTCTGAATGATGGAAAACAATCTTACACACAGGAGCTATAAATTCCTTCACTGAGCAAGGTCTAGCTCGTTGCCTGAGAGTAATTAAATCCGTACATCTTCAAAGCTCTTCTACTACTTTATCATCTAGTTCTAATGTTGGTACTGACAGAATGGAAAAACTACACCATGCTAATGAAAGACTTATAACAAAAAGAGCATTTCATGCAGTGACTACAAAGTCACTAACCAGTGACACTATTTTTAAAGGTGCCACCAGTAGCTGACAGACAAGCTAATACATATATAGCACAAATGAATAAATTGTAGTAGGACAAACACATAAGAAGCTGCAAAATACGTCTTTAAAGTGCATTGTTTGGACTGATGTAAAATAGTAAATTTTAAAATTTCACCTAATAATAAACATTTACCCTTTAGCTGTCAGAAAAAAAAACAACAACATATAGAACAATCAGGGTCATCTAATTAAGACAAAAGCACATACAGTAATGCAGGTTTTGCTTCCTGTTGAGGCTTGTCAGAGCAACTGTTCTGCCCTGAAAGGTGCAGAGCAAGTGGCCAGCTTGCCAGCAGCATACTGTGCAACTCTATCTTAGATGAGCAGTATGGTTCAATACTAATGGAGTAGGGTTGGATCTGAATTTCTAGAGGTGCTCTCTCTAGACAGGACACTACATGCTGGCTCTAGACAGGGATATTTGCAGGCAAACACACACAAGTCTACTACAATTGCTACTTAAGCAGCCATTTTGTGCCTCCTCTTAGAAAGGCAACCTAGGTGAAAACATCCTGTGGACATATATGACAATTCAAGGCCTGTAGAGCCACGTTCTAATAGACTTCCACACTGTTTCTCTGTGTCCTTCCAATGTTCATTTAGGTATGACATTTGATTCAACTGCATGCAATAAAAGATAAACCTATCAGGATTGTTTCTTTGGGAGCTGGGCAACAATGATACCTGCAGAAGTGTTTCTCTAGCTGACAGACCATATTTCAGCAGTCACTGAAGTAAATTCATGGTGTTACCAGATATCAGTCTACCCACCTCTCATCTGTCCACTGTGTAACTTCTGCTACTGCTCACCGCTTCCATTGGGACTCCTATTACTGCACCAAACGCTCTCCGTTGAAACCAGCTTCACGGTCAGTATTGATGAAAAAATGAGAAAACTTACCATAAAACAGTCAAGAGTCATACGTGTAACAAAAAAGGCCTCATGAATGCCAGCATACAGTATTTTATGCTTTACTTAACCATAAGAAATGATAAAGAATTAATTCTTAATATTCAGTCATTAAAAGAGCCCTACACTCGATACAATCCCCATTCATCAGTCAGCTGAACTGGATTCAAGAAACTTTATCACTTTTTTTGTGAAACACAATCAAGGTATTCATAAACATCATGTTGACACTTAAATCAGAAACCCACAACCAAAGGTCTGATCCTGCCAACAGATTTGCATGAGTGGAACTTTGACTTCTGTCATGTCTATTAGTGAAAAGACCTTATGCAGCTATAGATCAACTAAATTTTAGAAAAATAATGTAGGAAACACAGAGTTGGTCTCAAATTAGCAGCAAAGTTTCCACTAGCACCCCTAAAGCCAGGCTTCAACTCATCATCTGTGTCTTTGAATGCACTGAGATAACTGAGATAAATGTAGATTTCCTTATGAAGGAGAAAGAGAGTTTGAACTTTCTCCACTAAGTTTGCCTGTGCACAGAGGTCTTTTATAATATAAATTTAAATACACAATCTGTTTTACAATGTTTTCCATCATCTCTCCTCTCCATATGTTCTCCCACTAGGAATCTAATGAGTTCTACATATGAGGGAAGACAAGGGAATATGCCTGAGAAATAATTCCAGCAATTACAGCATATGGAGGCATTGTTTTTGAGTTGCTTTTGCCATGAACATTAGTTAGAGCATCTGGGACCGAATTCTTTCTACCTGCCTGTGGACATTAGCAAAATCATCATCATCCATTTGTAAATTCGGCTGATGTAATCTGCCACACAGAGAGTACCATTTCATCAGCTTTATGATCAGAGAGCATATTGAAACACAGACCATTTATAGTTAGGAAAAAATGCTTCTATTCAGATTGAAACAGTTTAAGATTGAAGTCATTTTAAGAGAAAATGATAGACACATCATCTTTCTTCCCTCCAAGAACTACAAAGAGCCTGTATTCAGCCACTATTTATTAAGAAACTTTTATCATAACTATTGAAGTTTCATGAGAACTGACCGGATTCCAGGAAGAGAGAAAATTACCACAGAAAAGTAAAAAGAACAAAAACAAAGAGACCCAAACTCTAAGGCAGTAAGAAGGATTATATTCTCTACACCCAAATATTGGCAAAGCACACAGAATTAATCATAAAAAGAGAAACAGACTAAAAAACCTCTTTTATATGGAGACATGGTGTACATTTTGCAGGTTCTAGATATCAGATATAAGTATGAAGACATAAGGCTGGAGAATCCTCTGCTGATGAAACTATACTGCAATGGTTTTGCCTAGCCTGGCATCCCACTAGCAGCAGAGAAAGAACAGTCATTCTCTTATGCAATAGTTTCCACCTGTCACCATCAGTGGTCCTCCTGCTGGATGGTCTTAAGTTAGTTTTGGATTGGCAACATTTGGATGTTGGCAACACTTGTCATCACCTGTCAAAACAAAGTTGTGAGAAACTCGGCCTTTTTGTGTACTACCTCTTGTAATCACTGCACAAGTAGTGCAGATGAATACAGAAAATGAAAAACAGCCATGGAAGACATTTTTGCTGTGTCATTTGCAATGACTGACTGCAAAGCAGTATCAGAAAGTTATGTATGCTCTTACAGAAACAAGATAAAAATGCAATTTGGAAATCTCTCCTCATTTTATAAAAGAATAAATAGAAAAGTGTCTCAGGGTACAAATCACATTATAAAGACTAACAAAGTGATTAGGTAATTCTTATTATTCAATTTAATAAACCACTGAAACCATGAGAAATCATTTAATGCCATCAGATTTTTTAGGTGTGACACATTTGGTATACAGCCAACTACTGGTAAAAAGAAGCTAGAGAATAAGGCAACACTTCTCTTACAAGCCAAAATTGCACTCCTTTTCCTTGCCAGTATCTCGGTTAACAACAGATGTGTGAAATTCAAGGCACGAAGGAGGAGGCAGTAAATCAGCAGAAAAGGATGCCAATCACATCTTCCTGTTTTGTTGTTATAGACATCCATTCATTACCTGGAAACTAGGAAAGCTAGCTATGCAATCATAATGAGCAAAAAACACCAGCATATATTTTTATGAAACCTAACAAAATAACATGCTTCATAGTAGATTTTTAGTTTCAGAACAAATTTATCTGATGCACTCCATCTCCAGTTTTAAAGCACATATAAGCTGCATTGGCTGTAGGATAAATAGGAAGATTGAAAGGGTATAGAATAATAGGTGGATTTAAATTTAGTAACAGTGGTATCTATAGCAGTGCTCTTTCAAGGGTGAGCACTTAGTTATGATCAATAAGCCAGATACAACCAAGATACAGCCTTAAATGTTTTTTTAAGCTAAATTTTAGATTTAGTAGTTCTGATTTGGATTTTTTTCCCCTAAGATTCGTATCAAGATTTCCTTTATGTTTTGTCAACTGATCCAATACATTCGAAAAGTTTGAATAAAGCCATGATTTTTCTTTCCATGTTAATGCATTGCCACGTGGAACTGCAGAATAGGAACCCATGCTCTCCTGCAGTTCAGAGTTCTTGATGACTGCTGAAATCAAAGGTTAAGATGGTTTTCACTCTGATCATAATGCCTGATCATCTTCGTAATCAGATGAACTGGGTATATCAAATAATCTGGGAAGTAGTATAGTAATATTATAGCAAGGAATAAAGGAGTAATCGAGGCAGTATTCATCTCACATGCCTACAGCATGAATGCCCACAGCTGATCTAGCCACCTACACTCCATTTGCAAAGGCAGCACTAAAACAGACACTATGGCCGGCAGAACTATAGTTCACAGCTTGCTTCAAGATGCACAAGCAGAATTCACTGTTGATATAGCTTGCTGGGTTGTTTTCTGCTTTTAAACAGTTGAACTAATTAACCCGAAATGTAATTTTTTCAGGAATGCTTACCATATTCTGTTGCTACAGAAATAATCTAAATGAGAATTTCTTGGGATTGTCATTTTGTGGAAACAAAAAAAAAAAAAATAAAATCCACCTCTATTCAGTCTGGCCTGAAAGCAGCAGTAAGCCCACCAGAACCAGAATTTCTTGTGAACACAGGGCACAATGCTAGAACAGTTGTGCTAGATATCTGTTTCCTTTGGAAAAACACCTTTCAAAGTGGTAGGATATATTCCCAGCTTTACTGAAGAAATACAAAGTTAAGATAACCCTTGAGATTCGTATGCACTGAAAAAGAATATTTTTTTCCATGGGTAAACATAATAGATCTCCAATGTGCACATCCATAGGAAAAAAATCTATTTTATATTACAATTTTATTCACTTTCTATGAATATTCACAACACTAATCTACTTCAGATAATCTATTTAGCATATTTGAAAATCCATTTATTTTCACTTATTGATATGCATGTGTTACACTTGTATATTATACAATATTTTCATTGTTGGCTTAAGAACAAAGAAACAAAGAAAACAAATATTGAAAGCATGATGTAGTTTTTGACCAAAGAGAGGTTATATTCAGATTTTACAAAACAGCACTTTTACACTTTGCACTGTCCCAGACAATCTCTTTAAGATGCTGCTTTCTGTCCTGCACCTGTTAGCACAAATCTATACAGTATTAATCCATCCTAAAATACTGAGATACCTAGTTGCTGCTAGTTTATCATAATTAAATTTTAATCAGAAAAATATCTTTCCCTGCCACATTTTTTTATTATTTCTCAACAGAATGATAGAATATGCTTTTCAATTTTATTCCCAACAGTCATTTATTTTATTTAAGCTCTCCTGTGCAATAATACAGCAAAGGTAATGAAATGGTTTTGGAACAGCAGGAGCTACTGTGATAGGCAGAGCACTCCAGGGTGCTCATCCATCATGGAACTTTATATATAACTACTTAGCCATGTCAATGGCTTGTGATGATAAAATCATTTCCCTCTTTTTCTGAAAGTCTGGTAAACACACAGGACTTCTAAATAAGCTCACCTTATATATATTTGACTGCCATTAAGTGTGTGTGGTTTTTGTTTCAGTGCACCAAAGCATACAGTCAGAACTCCCTCACCCTCTCCAGTCAGCATGCTTATGCAGTGTCACTACATGGAATTGCCAAATTTCTGTTGTATCAATATTACAGAGGGTACAATATACATTAAATGGAGTATAAAATTATACATTCTGTAATAACCTAGAAAAAAGCTCATAGATGCTTAAGGCCTTTAAATATTGAGGATTTTTTTTTTTTCATGTAACAGCACATCACTAAGTTCAAAAATTGCTCCTGAAACAAAAATAAAACCAGCAAATGTGATTTTGGCAAGGATCAGGTCTGAATTGGATGACTGTAAGCAAGCAAAATACCCACAAACTGTAAATCTGAGAGGGCACTAGGACTTTCTTCCTTTGTATCAAACAGACTGAGCAGACATCTACATAAGCATCCAACAGTATTTAGGTTCAAGCAAGAGACTTTATTTTTTAATAAAAAATACCCCCAAAATTCTGAATGATTACCATCCAATTTCATAATTGCAAAACTCATTTACATCCCTGCCTGCCTTTATAAAAAGGGATGAAATACTGCCATTGAATGCTTACCATGGATTTCAATGAACTAAAGGTTGAGAAAGTAAAGTACATATCAGGAACACTCATCTCCTTCAAACTAAATGGAAATGTATATTTTAAAGTTATAAAAAGGCCTTATAATGGAAGTGGTAATTGAGTTTTGACCACCACTTTTTTAACCGCCAAAGAGCTGCAGTAGTTGGTTAGCCTTAGGGAAACATGTCAGCCTGACTATACATTCTAATATGACTGATGTATTCAGATAACTATTACTTGTCAACAATAATTATTAACAATGGATATATATTTCCATTCCTATAACAAAAGCAACTTCAAGATGTTGAAATATGTAACTTTGAGAGCTCCAAGATTAGAATACAAATAAAAATGTCTAAAACTGTGCCATGCCAGAGGACAATTTCTGCAACAGAAATTTAATTAAAGCAGTGTGCAGTCCCATCAGCGATCTGAATGTGGACCAGGGATCATTTTAGAGAGAAGGAACCAATACATTTTGGTGGTTGACTTCATCAAGATGAAAAGCCACTGGTCTGGAATGGAGAATCCAAAAGATTGCTGTTTTTCTGCACATGTTAAGTATCAACTCTTGTGATTACAGCTGCAAATTCCTCAGCAAGTGCAATTTTACAAGTGTACACAGTTCAATCAGTTGAAATCTTTATGACACAGAAGTTCAGAATAACTTCCCAGTAGTTTTGATCTCAAGGCTGTTGCTGATTACAAGGCAGGTTCTCATTGAAACAATTGATTCTGAAGGATACACCCCAGCAGTATAAAATTTCACTTCAAGGATTGCCTGGAGGAATGAAATTCCTGTGTGTTGTATTTAATGTTACCAGCCTTGAGACTGACTTGATTTGTCTTTAGCTATCGGGTTACCTGTAAAGAAAAAGAAAATCAGAAAATCAAAACTGTACATACAGAATCTAATTCCGAAGTACTGGAAACTGAGACTGAAATACAAGATCTGTGTCCAGCAAAGCTCTTTAAATTGTTTTTAAACAAATGAATAATTCCAAGTAGTATTATATGGGATTGCTCCCCAACATAAATTCTGTCTTTAAGTGATTTGCTGGAATTGGTCTTGACAAGATAAAACTGAAATGTGACATCGTTTAAAATAAGATAAAAAAAAAAATCTGAAGGTCACAAATTACCAAAAGCATTGGGTTTAAGGGAAAAACTGTTAATATTTTTCAATGTTAGACCTTCTGTATGGGTGCAACTATGCTTTTAAAATGTTAGCCATTATGTATAACAGTGACTGATACTGGAGATGGGTTCTTCCACTCTTTGCATGCTACTTTAAAACACAGTCATAGAATCATAGAATTGTTTAGGTTGGGAAAGACAATGTCCTGTTAAGCAAGAAATAAGCACTTAGTGAAGAAACAGGACAGAAATCATACATAGCTAAACAAGAGAGAGAGATCCTGTTATTCACAAGGTAAAAAATAACTACCAAGGAGTTCACTTTAGAGTTGTTTCACCCAACCTATTGTGAAACAAGGGTGGAACAGAAAGACCACAGAGAAAGAATATTCAACAAAGCATTTCACAGTAATTGAACTTTCCTTGTGTATAATTTGGATTTTAAATATTAAAAGAAAAAATCTACCATTAAAAAAAATAGCATAACTGAGGACTATTTCTGCTGTGTCACTTGATACAATTAATGATCACGTAACATTTTATATCAGACTGTGTCAGGGGACAGAATCCCGAACGCTGAGGTGCAGCCCATTGGAAAGGTCACAATAACACTTCATGACATCAATGGGCATATGCTTTTAATTTTGTTCACAGAGAGAAGGGTCATGCTTCTTAACGATGAAACATTCTTTTGCCGTCAGCAAAACTGTTTGCATACAGCTCTTGTTGGCTCTACAGAGCACAAACATAGAGCAGAATATTAAAAGGACTCTTCAAGGAGCTCATAACTTTGGTTTGCCTTCACCAAGTTGATTGTAGGAACTGTACTTAAGAAGACAATAATAAAATTGTGTTTTGTGGTTTTTATGAAACCTGGTTTTATTTATTACATTGCTCTTAATTTGTTTTTCTCTTGCTGTTGGAAACAGCCTCATGTCCCACTTCTATAGTGGAAGATTGTTTGAAAAAATAATGAAGAATTAATTAAAAAATCAAGCAACATATTTTTATGCCCTGCACCAAAGCTCAAAGAGCTGACACAGCATCTTACTGTTATTTGTATTTTGCTTTCCTGTAACAAGCTGTAATTCTACTCATGGACTCAAGTGCCACTAAGCTACATGTAAACTACACATCTGATCCTATCCACAGGTGGATTTTTATTAGCTTCACTTGAAAGTCAGAGATACTTGTCTCTCTATATATACATAAACATATAGATATATACATAAAAAACTTGTGGTAAATCAACTGATGCAAAGACAGATCAAAGCTGTGAGACTCCCAGAGAAGCCATGTAAATGCAGGGTCAAAGCTTCTTACTCTTCATTAGGGACTGTAGCAATAGGACAAGGGGTAATGGGTTCAAACTTAAACAGGGGAAGTTTAGATTGGATATAAGGAGGAAATTCTTTGCTGTTAGGGTGGTGAGGCACTGGAATAGGTTGCCCAAGGAGGTTGTGAATGCTCCATCCCTGGCAGTGTTCAAGGCCAAGTTGGACAAGGCCTTGGGTGATATGCTTTAGAGCAGGGTGTCTCTACCCATGGCAGGGGGGTTGGAACTTGATGATCTTAAGGTCCTTTCCAACCCTAACTGTTCTATGATTCCAGAGCAGACGAAAACCAAGGCAGAATCAGAGGACAGTTTCCTCAGAGGACAGGCACAGTCACTGGAATTCAGCTGGATTCTCAATTTTCTCTACGTGCCCACAGAGTAGGTATTTGCTATTAAAAAGAGAGGGTGCCAGCTGACTTCAGAGAGACCAAGTTGACCATGACCCAGCAATCTGCCTCTCAACAAAGAATGCTAATGGTATCCCAGGCTACATTATACAATGTATTGTCACCAAGTCAAGGGAGGTGGCCCTTCACCTTTGCTCAATACTGGTGGTGTCGCACCTGCATTAGTGTGTCCAGTTTGGGCTCCCCAGTACAAGGGAAACATAGAGCTACTGGAGAGAGTCCAGTAAAGGTCCATTAGAGCAAATAAGGGACTGGAGCATCTTCATATGAGGAATGGCTGAGACAGCTGGAACTGTTCAGCCTGTAGAAGAGGAGGCTCAGATGGGGATCTCAGAAGTGTGCACAAATACCTGAAGGGAGCTGCAAAGACGATGGAGCCAGGGACTTTTCAATTGATACCCAGTGACAGGACAATAGGCAATGAGCACAAATTGAAAGACAGGGGTTTCCCTGTCAGGAAACACTTTTTTACTGTGAGGATGACATTTCACTATAACAGGTTGCCGAGGAAGGTCGTAGAGCTTCCTTTCTCAGAGATATTCAAAAGCCATCTGGACACAGTCCTGGCCAGCCAGTTCTAGGCAACTCTGCTTGAGCAGGGGAGTGGACTTTCAGAAGTCTCTTCCATTCTCAACCATTCTGTGATTTATTATTTCTGTTACATCCAGCTTTGCCATTGCATAGGCTAAGGTGATAAACTGTGCTAGCAAGAAGCAGCATTTTCACACATGGCTGCTCAGTTATATGGCTGTTTGGAAGTGCAAATGTGCTCTCTTCAGTCACAAAAAGACCCAGTAAAATCATAATCTGTAGGCCTATCTACTCCACTTCCCGCCCCAGCTCTACAACTGTGTGGTAAAAATATCCTTATAAAAGCAAATACACTGTTACATGGAATAAATAGGTGATATAAAGAAGAAAACAAATCAGATATCCATTCAAATCTCTGCTCTGTAATAGGTGGCTAATCATATACAAAGGTCATTTTGTTTATACAAGCTACAGGAAGTCAAGCTGCATATTCCTAGTTTTTTACAGTTGCATGATTGGAGGGTTTAACTGCTTTCCCTTCCCAGATTTTTCATTATTCCACCTGCCCTCTTTTTCCTTTTCCTTTTCCTTTCTTTCCTTTTTTTTTTTTTTTCCTGTTAACTTCCAGGTCACAAAATGCTCCTTTGAGTAACACACACAGTGATCCACATTTGCCTCTAAGAAGGTAATACTTCTTATGTGCTAGCACAGACCAGATATTAACATAAATGGAAGTCATATACATACATATCAAGGAAAGAATATATCTCTCAAATGCTAAAGGCAGCTTCATAAAGAGCCATGAAATTTTAGATAATGTGTAGTTTGTATTCCCAGAAATGCTTAATTTTGGATACACTAAAAGCTGTCTGGTTTGAGTGGCTGGGAAGCAAAAGTATTGTGACAAAGGTCTTTATAGAAAAGGGGACTGATGTATGTGTCTGATCTTTAAAATCCTAAGAGAACAGTAACATGCTAAATATGTGCAAATCAAGTCTAATAAATTTTTCAGTTAATAATGACAATGTATGGAAAATTAACTTTGCTGCTGTTTAACAATACAAATGAAAAAAAAAGGACATAAAACCTTTAGGATCCTAGGTGTTGATTTGAATTAATTTGTTCATTCTTGGAACATAATTACTCCCTTTATGCTACTGTGTTTTTTCACATGGTTGTTATATCATAAATACAATGCATTAGACTTTCTCCACTTTCTTGTACTACATGTGCAATTAAAGTATAATTACTCCACAGCTGCAGACTTTTTAATTTAAATTAGTGAGTGGCTGCTGTAAATTGTCTGTAATTGTATGTGAACTCACTTGTTTTATTTTAAAACAACAATATATAATTAAATGCAACTGAAGTTTTCCACATTCCTTCTGTTCACTAAATATTTGAAACAGGTTCAGTCCTTGGGCAGAACACTTTTGCCAGGGCAAAAAGAATGGATTCCCAAGAAAAATGCAGCCTGCTACTTGCAAGATTTCCTTCTGCCTTAGAAGAGGAAGGGAGAAAAATCAAGACTACAGAATGTAAAGATTGGCTGAGTGAATATTCCCTGAACAGTAAAGTACTTTTCCCTACTTTCAGGCAGCTGCACATGAAAATTATGGGATACCAAGCAGGTATAGTACAAATCATCTGTTTCTTCAGAAAAAAAAAATCTATCACTAGTTATTGGCTAACTACAGAATAGTTTATACATGCAAATGCGGCACATACATAAGCAATTAGTATTTAATATTGTAAGTATAAAATAGATGGTAATATATGGTATATTAAAATAAACATGTACTGGAACATTTCATAACGCAATTTTGTACATCACAATTTCTCTGAATGGCAGCTCTTTCAATTTTTTTTCCGTGTTTATCGCAAACCATACACAAAATCCATATTAAAACCAGACTCTTGAGTTTGCCAAGTCAAGCACTTGAAAGTTAGCGACTTGCCTTTCCTTTGATGCTCTTGCAACTTCAAATCTGTGCCTTTTCCATTGTACAAACAACAGAACTTGGTGGGGAGGGACTGTTGGAAGGAAGCCTATTATATTGTTGTCAGGACTATGTATTAATGCAAGGAAAAAAAGGGCAAATTTTTAAGACAGCGTCTCTTCCTTCTGTAGATAATTCAGCAGCATGATGGACCCTTCGTTCTAGGTTTTCCCCAAAGAAACAGAAAGACCTTAATACTGGGGGTTTTCTTTTCAATTAGAACTGTTCCATCAACTGTACAGGACTCTGTGTGGTCATAGCCTGAGTGTCGTCTAAGCATACTCAAGAATCATCACTCTATCTTTTTTTTAGCAAATCTTGAGCTAAGTGGAATTTCACGAGACAAAGAAAAGCGCTCTTGTCACCCCTACCATTCTTCTGTAAAATACTAAAGGTCTGTGGGAAACAGAATGGTGTGGGGATTTCTAGAAAAAAATCACAAGGATCTCACAAATGTATATAATTACCATCATGAGGAAAGCTAAATACAAAAAATGTCACAAGAATGCCTTAAAAAAATGCTTGAAGAAAGAGGCGTAAGAAATGGCTTGAAGAAATGCCTAGGTATGGATTGTCCTTCAAGACACTAAGATGAGAAAGAGATCTTGTACCAAGACAGCCCTTAGTTGTATTCAGTATACATTTCCATCCATTTCCTTTCCTTATTTTTATATTCTTTCTTATACTGAACATAAAGAGACTACAAAAAAAAAATTATTAACAAAACATGATCAACAATTTATGGTTTGTTTGGGGTGGGTTTTTTTAGCAAACCTTTCCTAATGAGGAATGGTTTCCTAACAAGGAATGGTTTCCTAATGAGGAATGGACCTGAAGAAGGCTGTACCATGCTATAAGTAACTTTGTTTTGGTATTGAATACCTAACATGAATATTACAATGCAGAAAACAGAAGGCCCCATACAACCAGAAACAAACATCTGCCAAGGCATTTTTTCCACTTATGCTTTCTGCAAATGAAGTTGAGGTTAGAAATGAAACTTTTGAACAGATGGAAGCGTGCTATTTCCTGGAACTTCAAAATCCAGACAACATGTTTTGCCGTGCACTATCATTCGTATGTGGCTTATGAAAGCAAATAACAGTTTGCATTGCCACTTGTGAATGTTTATTCACTGAAACAGTTCAACTTGCAAGCTTGTAAGATGCTTCTCATCTATTAATACTACCTTGTACCAGTTAGAATCAAAAGTACTTTGCAAACATTGACAGAAGAGAGGCTCAGAATTTCCTCAAAGCTTGAGAATTCTGTAATTTGTTTTCTAAAGAAATGGGGAAAGTGAACAAAAGACCTATTAATGAGCCGTTTTTTCCAAGGGGGCTCCTATATGCATACACACCTCATGGTAGATAGGTTTGGATTTGGGTGAAGGTGGTATTTAGTTGGAATTGTAGAATACCATAAGCATGCTAGATAGCTAAGTTTCTGGAGGCACAAGAAACCTTTTAAAAAGTAGGAAAAATGTTAAGGTGATTCAAGGGTATGCTTGATAAAGTAACTGCAGCAGAGAACTGTGAATTAGGAAATAATCCCTTGTTTCAGTATCACAGACCATTATTTGACTTGGGCTAATGACAAAAGGCAAAATTTGAGTGATTTGTCAGCAGTTTGGAAACCAGGCATTCAGTGATAACTGTATGGATCTATTTACCTTCAGAGGTTACATACTGATAGAAATTTTTTTTCAAGTCTCTAAATGCCTCATTCCTACTCATAAAACTTTTTCACTACCTAGCTTTTGATATCAAGACTCAAGAGCTTTACTTTTTTGCCTTAACTTTATTTTTGGCACCGCAGTATAAAAAGCGTTAGTTTAACCATGTTCCAAGCCTGTAATGGAGGAATTTACAATTCTAGATCCTTAGTTCTATCCTTTGGTAAACATCTGTACCTCATTTTATTAACTAAACAGAACATTCCCCAGCACACCTAAATGTCTCAAATGTTTCCCAATGTCTGATAACCATCAGAGTTAAGTTTTTAATTCTTTCTTACTTTTATTACACTGTGACTAATCAGAATTGCGTTTGTGAAAATTCTTGTGCTTAGTATTTTCCATTAAAAAGAAACAAACATGTTGAAAACTCATTTCACACAATCCCATTTGAAGTATAATCCTGTATTTCTTGTTTCCTCATTGCTCTTAATGATATCAGCAGGAGATTTTTGGTTATAAAGTCCTTGATAATCAGTGTTAAAAATTTTAATTTAAATTAAAAGACTTTGGAAACCTTTCACTTGTAAATTGAGTTTTCCACTTGTTCCAAATAAAATTAGGACTGGTAAAATAGGTAAAGGAAATATACTTTGGAACGTTGTATACATTCCTGAAAATGGCAATTCTTTACCTGAAACATGGTTTAAAGATCAGTCAACACCTAGCAATCTTAGGAATATAGTGGAAATACCCCCTTTTCAACTTCGTATGAATTTTCAGTAATCCCATATGGGATGCTGAGCTTTCAACTACAAAGCGACACCTAACTCCATGTACCAAGACATACTTCCTTTCTAAATGCTGTTCTCTTCCCCAAAGCACCTGTTGCTTTCCCATGACAATGAGAGACTTAAGTTCATCAACTGGCTCTACTTCTGAAGGGAAAGTGAAGAAAGACATTTTAAGGCTCCCAGAAGCATCTGACTGACAGACTGAGGCTGCTTAGGAGAGCAGTGCAGTCTCTCCAACCACCCTCCTGAAGCTCTGCCCAAATAAATCACGATTCCTGGGCATCTGCAGCAAACTAAGCAACTACAATGAGAATAAGGTACAACAATTCCTATTAGTACTGTGTAAACCTGTATTTGTACACACCTGCTGCTCTGTGAGTAATAAACCAGGGCTGGAACATATTTTCTGGAGTGGTCTGACTCTTTATTCCTCAACGAACGTTCTGGCCCTTCCTTAGAATCCGACCAAGACTAGGATTCATCACAACTAGTGCTCCAACGTGGAGCCAGAATATTTTGTGTGTGTGGAAAAAAACAAAAATTGTCATCAGGCACAGCAGAAACCTCCTTTCTCTACTTCTCCATTCGGACTTGAGGAGTTTTACACGTTTGCCTAAGAAACAAACACATGTCAAGTACTACAGTGTTATGGAATTAGTTACAGAAGACAAAACTGGAATAGATGGAATTTTCTTTAACTTACAAGGAAAAGTACAAGACGAGAGGAAAAAGCATTTCAGAATCAGAGCAACTTCTCTTAGCTAAAGAGCACGGCCTCAAAAACACCCGCAAGCAATAACAGTAATCCCAAAGGAAAAGGTTTAAACGTAATCAAAATCAAACTCATTGATTTTTCACCAAAACACAATAGAAACTGGTGGATAGCACTCATTTTTGCAAGTATAGCAGTAATCTTTAACTGTGATAAAGCAGTAATTCTTTGAAAATAAGTCCATGGGTAGACCTGTAATATAGAAAAGAACCATGAACTCAGAATACGATTCCTTGCAAATGAAAGGCTTGAGTGTGTTCTTGTTTTAAGTAAAAACAAACCAAAAATACTAAAAAATAAACAAACAAAGCAAAAACCACAAGAAAGTTTAAAGTTTGAAAAAAAGTAAGCATTTTGAAAACTCTACTTACAGTCATTTCTATGGTTAGTAAGTTACAGGAAAAAACATAAACTAACAGATGACACATTTCAAAAGACAATATTCAATTCAGACAGCTAGTTCCTTATCTAGACATTTGAGGTATTTTTTGGACCTGATGGTAACAATTGCTTTCAAAAAGGGTTGCACAGCACCTCAAGAGATCACCTAATTTATTTAAATAATGTTTACAAAAAGATTACCATTTTCCTTTTCTTTTTCCTTTAGGCTTTTCAACTTAATGTCATTCTGCAGATCATTAGAAATATACATCACAAGATTAAACTCATAATTTTGATAACTTGTAGCTTTAATAAAATCTCTACACATTTAAATACTATGAAGCAAGTTAATATGGTTCTGTATTCATATTTCTTTGAACTTGATAGTTTACAAAATAAACTTAATTGATACAGCTCATTGGGACAATAACCATAGTGTATATCTGATGATGAAATACGAGTTGTGTCAAAGCTAAATCTAATCTATCAGTCTTTTGAATGTACTTCATTATTATTCTCTTCTAAAAGGCAATGCCACTACAATGCACATACCTAAACTTTCTCAATATTGCTATACCAGAAAGTGGAAATTAAGTTTATGGTAGAATTGTTTTAACGTAACAAAATTTTTCATCCGCAGACAACAGTTTTATATTAAAAGAAGACTTAAAGATAAACCTTATTTTACTTTCTGTAACAGATAATAACTGTAGCAATTCAGACAAGGATATATCCTCTTGAGGTTTTTGTGGTGATCACAACTCCATAGTGGGACTGCAGCATGGCGGCATAAAAGACTGCAAGACAATTAATTAAATAAATGTAATTTTCTTCTCTTTTACACCGATTCCATCTAGTCTCTCAAATGGGAAATAAAAACAACCTCCTTCCTTGTTACAGATGAGGAAACTGAAGCATAATAAAGAGTCATGCTACCCTTCCAACTGTGAGAAAGTAAATGGAAAAGGAGGGATAGGAATAGAGTCCTTCTGTCTTTGGCTTTATCTGACCACACTTATATAAAGAAAAGCCTACTGTTGTTCTTGACTGGAAAGTAAAACCTGTAGCAAGCAGATTTCTGTGTTCAATGTTCTGAAAATTTAGAAGCTACAAAACCCAAACAAAAAAAAAAAAAAAATCCCAAACCTTATTTTAAAACTAGGCTGAGTTTTTAAATTCCCAAATAGATACAATGGATTTCCATTTTTAATTCATTTTCCCAAGAAATTTGTAAGATTGAACTTCAAATTGTCCTCACTAAAATAATTAAGTACTCTAAATTCTTCACATCTGCTTTCTTTATTTTCTTCATATGTTTATGATGTGTTATTTTTTTTCTGGGATTTTGAATGGAGAGTAACAAGCCATTTGGAAGAGACCAAAATAGAAATGGAAATTATTCCTTACCTGTAATTTTATCTTCTCTATGAGGGTACCTGCTGCTCTGTTAGTGCAGTACTGATGTGTTTTCTGCCTTTGTCCCAAGCTTCAGTGATTCCTCTGGTGATTTTTCCCCCAGCTTACCAGCTTCCACTGCTGGCATTTTGAGGTAGTGCACTCACATTTGGCTCCAGGAATACTGCCACAGCTGAGGGAATATAAGACAACTAAAAAACAAGTTAGAAACAGCAGAGCAATATCCAGGCAGAAAAAAAAAATATGTTTAAAACCAATGAATGAGTTATTAACTTGGAAACCTTTGATCATTTTCCTCTCTCTTTGCATCCATTTAGAGTCTCCACGCTTTCTCAGGCATGAAGAAATTTTAGCCAAAGTCATGGGTGCAGACAGAGTAGTGGGTACCATTCAGAGAATATAAAATTATTTTAAGTGAATTTAATTTTTACTTTCTCCAGTATGAGTACCATCACACCAGCACTCTAATATAGATGGGAAACTGAAGAAATTTGGCAGATTTGGAGGATGTCAGAAAAATCCCTGTCACCCTCTGAAGTCTGAATAGAACTGGGAAAAGGAAGATGCAAGGGCTTGTCATAGATGAACAATTAGAAGGATTTGTCATTGCCTAGGGAAAAATGCAAAAAAGTCTGGATCACTGAAAAGTAGTCAAGATTACGGTTGTTGATTCCCAACTAACAATTGTAGGCATCTTGGTCCTCGGAGATGAAGAAGGGGAAAAAGCAACTAGTACTGTCAATTTTATAAGTAGATAAATTGAACACAAAACAGAGCGCATATCAACCATCCATGCTTGTACTTGCATGTAGACGATAAAATTTCACTGTCATTCTCTTGCGTTTTTTACATATAATGGTCACAAACTCCTGTAGGATTCTTAAAAGAAGATAGCATCAAAATTTGGTGTTAATTCCAGAAAATCATGACTGGTATTTGCCATAGGCTCATGACAAAGTGATGCATACTATTAGCATCATTCCTGAATGGATTAGAAATGTCATCTTCCTTGAGTGTTATGGCCAATTCCAGGTGAAAGTTAGAATTTCCTATAATTCTTCTCTACTGGGGATCATCTTCATACCGTTTTTGAGCTTCAGAGCACACAGAAAAGATGTATCTTGAAATGTGACGAAGAATGTGCTTTGCTATTCAATTTAATTTGTATTCCTTAAAGAACCTGGCCAGCTGTCTTCATACCTTCATCTCCTCATTATCTTTTGACTAGTACATGAACCAAGACAAGGTAAGTATGACTGAACTGGAGTAGATAGTCACAATTAGACACTGGTATTCTAAAATCTCGAGTAATGAAGGAAAGACCAAAAGGCTCTGAAGAGGTTGTTACCTTCAAATTTCAGGAATGTAAGTAACAAAGGTTTGCTTTACAGTCAACAGAGAGAAAAAGGACTCTGGTAATTTCTTTAAAAACCCTCCAAAAGAAATTTGCTTTGCAAATAAACAGCTCCAAATTTGTCAAGTTGCATTCTAGGAGAAAGTCTCCTGTTCCTTTTTTGTATCCTGAATATATTGAACAATAATTATTGACAACTGGAATTAGAACAGTGCCTTGAAGAGTATAAATTTACTATGCTCTTGTTTTCCAAGGTAACTCTGGAAAGATGGCAAAGAGGCAGGACAGAGAGACCTCAGAATTCTAGAAGAAAAAGTACTCTGTGGATTTGCCTGAATTAATACCATCACAAGCAGAGGTAGTCTTTTGTTCTTCTGGCAGAGACATGTTCCTGAGCCACAAGGCTTAAATTAAAGATGGAGGAATAAGCTGAAGCTCTGGTTGGAGTCAATAATATTTTCTGGCATTCTTGAACCTGAAGAGGCAAAGCAGGTTTGGACCTCTTAAAATATGCAGCTCCATTAAAATTCTCAGATCTTCTGTTGCTGCTGAGTTTGTAGATACATGTTGATAGACACAACCATCATTTCCTTCAGATCATATCCGTCTTCATAAACTGAAGACACACTTTGGTTCACTTCTGGTTTTAGAGGTCTTGCCAGTTTAATTCCACAGGTCATACCATACAAATACATCATGGTGAACTGCGGATTTTGTAGCTTCACTCAGAATCTCCACTTCAGAGCTCTGTGAAATTTCTTACTGCAGATATGGACCGTAAAATCTGAGAAGGAATCAACTTTGTATGCTAATAATGCAGTAGAGGAAAGCTCAAAGTCCATTTTATAGATTATATAAAGTCCTTTGAAGCCTTTTTTCCATACAAAGCAGTAGTGTACTTCCTAAGATTAATCTGGTGTTCACCAAGGCGGAAGGAGTAAACTACAAGATACGAAAAAAAATTAACACCTTGAAAATTCTTATGCAAATTCACTTTATATTGGTCCCTTTGTTTTTTAATTTAGTCCTAGACATCAGTCTTCCACTTATTCTTGCCTGAAATACTTTTTTTTTCATTTTGAACAGTTCTCAGATAGAGCAGGACTATCTTCATCAGTCTTATGGAGAAATAAGTAAGATTTACAACCATGCTCACTTTGCTCTGCAAGGGAATAGTATCTGAGTAATCTCAGATGTTTGAAAGTTGTTCATTCCTCCAGCAGTGACTGTGCATAATGCTCTGTATGACTTTCTCTGCTTGATATTGATCATTATCCATTTCCTTCCTTCCCTCTTAGAGAGCAGAAAAGCAGTGCTGTGACAGGATGGTTATTCCAAAGTTTTCTATAAACAGTCCTAATGAGTAAGGAAATACTTCAAGAAAACTATGGGACTTTGGAGAATTGAAAGTACTGCCTTTTGAAGAGTCGGGTTGCACTTTTCTGCGTATGAGTTCTGCAACTTAGCAGTGATACACAGTTTGTGAAGCCTGTGCCAAATACTTAGGGAAAGAAGCAAGAGTTCTGACTGCACCTATTTAAGTAGTAGGTAATGTAAGGTTTCGGAACACTCCAATCCCTCTTAGCTGAAATGTATCATTTCTGACTTGCATAAATGATCCAAAGAAGCCCTTGCAAGCTGCAAAGGAGGTGAGACAAGGAAGAAGCACTAGTTTTAGAGCATGCCAGCATGACTCACATGAAACTGGCATTTGAATATCATCTTCCTATATGGTAACTTGTGGGGTAGGTAGTAGAAGCTGACAGATTTTCTAGGAAAACTAAAACCCACTTCCAGATATTCAGAGCTCTTCTTGCACAGCTGTGAAAGGGCAGAGACTGGCAGAATGGAGCTGCAAATGAGAGTGGAAATGTCTTTGATTTTGGTATCAGGTCTTTGCCACTTTGTGGAGAAAACAAGTAATTTACATATAGCCCTCAAAACTCATTCTCATTTTCCATCAAAGAGGCAGAAAACTATTCTTCAGGCATGAGGTCAATAGCTCAAATGTGCCAGCAAGGGAAAAAATGGGGGAAAAAGAAAATAAAAATAAATCACAAGTTGAGTCTTTTGGGACAAAGGCAGAAAACCTCTTGGCTGGTCTCATGGAGTGGAGGATTCCCACGTGGAAGAAAGTGATGCTTGCAAAAATCACTGATTAGTTAATTAAAGAAATGCAACTGAAATCCATTTGTATTTTTATTTAAATATTGCAATTTTTTTTTGCTTTGATTTCAGAGTAATTCTGTCAATTTTCAGGTGCTGCAGAAGCTAAAATGATGCTTTACAATGGATCTAGCTGCAGTCCCACCTCAGGAAAAACTATTCCCTCATAAAAATGTATAAACTACATCATATATTACTAACACTCTGTGTGATGAAGGGATTGTAAAATACTTCATTTCTCATGATTTGTACAATGTGTCTACACACACACAAAAAAAAAAAAAAAATCAGAATAACCCTTCTGAATACCTAGGGACAAGATTCAGGGACAAAGAGATGCAGCAAGGGACTGAAAATTGCAAACCTTCTAGGCAAAAGTTGCTAACAAAAAAATAAAATGTTACTCTTTTTTTAAATTTTCTTTCAAGTACTGCATTAACAGGTTCTCTCCTTCCAAAAGAGCCGTACCTATGCATTGTACCTTTAACCCATTCTCTCTTTTTGTCCTGGTTTCAGCTCTAACACTTATTTTTAATCCTTCCTAGTAGCTGGTGCAGTGCTGTGTTTCAGCTTTAGTCTGAGAACAATGCTGATAACACACTGGTGTTTTAGCTGTTGCTGAGCTGCACTTACCCTGATCAAAGACTTTTCAGTCTCATGCTCTGCCAGTGAGGAGGGGTACAAGAAGCTGATAGGGAGCAGAGACAGGACACCTGACCCAAACTAGCCAAAGGGCCATACCACAGCATGTCATGCCCAGTATTGGGGAAGTTACCCAGAAGGGACCAATTGCTGCAAGGGTCAGGCTGGGTATCAGTCAACAGGTGTTGAGCAATTGCCTTGTTCATCACTTGTGTTTAT